GGCTGTCCCCTGTGGCCCAGGTTTGGGACACGGTGGAGAAAAGCGACATCGGCTGCACGCCGGGCAGCGGCAGGGACAACATCGGCGTCTTCTCCGACGCCGGCCTGAGCCTGACCACCAGCACCAAGGTCACCACCCCCCAGCGCTCAGGTAGGAGGTGGTGGCACCTCGGGGAGGTGGCATCTCACAGAGGTGACACCTTGGGGATGGGGGAGGTGACATCTCAGGGATGCTGGAGGTGACACTTCAAGGATGTGGCACCTGAGGAACAGAGGAGGTGGCACCTTGGGATGGGGCAGGTGACATTTGGGGATGGTGGAGGTGACACTTCAAGGATGTGGTAATCAGGGATTGGGGAGGTGACACCTTGGGGATGGGGGAGGTGACATCTCAGGGGTGGGGGAGGTGACACTTAAAGGATGTGACACCTCAGGGATGGGGGAGGTGGCACCTTGGGGATGGGGGAGATGACATTTAGGAGGATGGGGATGGTGACACCTCAGGGATGTGACATCTCAGGGACAGGGAGGTGGCATCTCCAGGATGGTGGAGGTGACATTTAGGAGGATGGGGATGGTGACACTGCAGAGATGTGACATTTCAGGGACAGGGAGGTGACACCTCAGGGATGTGACATCTCAGGGACAGTGAGGTGGCATCTCCAGGATGGTGGAGGTGACATTTAGGAGGATGGGGATGGTGACACCTCAGGGATGTGACATTTCAGAGATGGGGGAGGTGACACCTCAGGGACAAGGAGGTGACATTAAGGAGGATGGGGATGGTGACACTGCAGAGATGTGACATTTCAGGGACAGGAGCGGTGACATCTCGGGGATGGCAGAGGTGACACCTCAGGGATGGGGAGGTGACCCTGAACTTTGGGATGTGACACCTGGGACACCGTGAGGTCCTGACCAGTGTCCCCTGTGTCCCCAGAGGTCCAGTGTCCCCAGCCTGCCAAACGCAAGCGCCGCTCGCTGGCCCTCGCCGAGTACAAGGGCACCAAGGGTAGGTGGCACCGGGGTGTCCCTTGTCCCCAGGGTCACCATGGTGTCCCTTGTCCCCAAGGTCACCATGGTGTCCCCTGTCCCCAGGGTCACCATGGTGTCCCCTGTCCCCAAGATCACCATGGTGTCCCTTGTCCCCAAGATCACTATGGTGTCCCTTGTCCCCGAGGTCACCATGGTGTCCCTTGTCCCCAAGATCACTATGGTGTCCCTTGTCCCTGAGGTCACTGGGGATGTCCCTTGTCCCCGAGGTCCCCATGGTGTCCCTTGTCCCCAAGGTCCCCATGGTGTCCCCTGTCCCCGAGGTCACCAGGGCGTCCCTTGTCCCTGAGGTCACTGGGGATGTCCCTTGTCCCCAGGGGTCACCAGAGTGCCCCATGTCCCAAAGAGCCACCAGAATGTCCCTGTTCAATGTCCCCATTCCAAGAGCCACCAGAGTGTCCCACCCCAGATGTCCCCACTCCAAGGGCCACCAGAGTGTCCCCGTTCGATATCCCCACTCCGAGGGCCACCAGAGTGTCCCACCCCAGATGTCCCCACTCTGAGGGCCACCAGGGCCG